AAGATAAAGTGAGGCTTCTGACGTTTTTTTGTTCATGATTAGTCCCCAGCTTCCATTGGTTAGTTTTTGACAATCTCACGTGTCTCTGATCTGAAATCTCACCCATCAGAGTTACCAGTTAATGAAATCACAAGGTCATTAGAGTGGCATGATGATTTTGGAGGTGACTCGAACACGAACAGCTACGTACACACCTCAGGAAACCCTGTATGTCTCCCCAAAATGAGGCTGATTTTTCCTCCAGTCATTGCTCATTTTCCCAGCTTAGTTTACTTCTACAGGTCAAAACAAACAAACAAAAAAAAAACAAAAAACAAAAACATGAATTTTCAAGGCAATCGATGTTATAAGATTCACCTCTGGATTTGCCATTGGAAACTGCTCGCACAAGGCTGACACAGAATGTTTTTTCCTGTTGATTTAGAAGGCAAAGGGGATGCTGAAATTTGGGGAGCATGAAATGAAAAGGATGTGAAGGAGGAAGAGACGCAAGACCAGGGAGAAGGGGAGGAAGAGGAGGGATCGTCACCGGGGCCACTTAGAACTGAGTTTATTCAAATGGCTATCTAAGCACTGGAGAGTTAATAACTTGCCAAGTTATTAAAAATTCCAATACGTAGGCCACACCTCCTAGTAATTAAATCACAAAGTGACTGTGGGAACCAGCATCAGTATTTTTTAACGATCCCTAGTTTGTTCCAATATGCAATAAAGTTTGGGAACCAATGACCCATTCTAGATGGCTAATTTAAAGAACTAGGGGAATATTCATACAGCTTTAGTACTCAAAAGCACATAACTATAAAATGCACAATTGTACATGAGAAGGAAATGCACTTGTTACTGATATCCGGAAACTAACTATTTTTCTCTGAACAAGGAACTGTAACAGAGATTGTTGAATGCTCAGAATAAATTTCATCAGGTACACACTTATTTTCTAAGACCTATACAGTATAAATCCCTCTACACTTTTCATTCCTTTTACCAATATATATAGGCTTTGAGGAGGGGTATGCTGGAAAAATCAGATAAAGTAAATGAAATACATACATAATATTTTATGGTGTTTTATATAATAGTAGTTGTTACAGAAGTTCATTGTTTAATTTCAACTAATCTGGAATTTTCTTACTTGACTATAGTTAATGGTGATAATTCAGATTCAACATAAATTAAAAATTTAATTCCTATTTTCCCAGGAATTTGTGTTTAGGACTGTCTTGTGAACTCATAAATTTGAAGAATCCTTCTAAGAAGTACATAACACATGTTAAGATTAATTACTTAATTATGATATAAGTAAGAGAGTACTAATAATTTTTTTCCATCTATAAAGCATTAGCAGATTTATTTGTTTGCATGAGGCAATAAGTGCATTACCTTTTTGGAGACAGCAGTGAGGGGCAGGGATAGAGTGTTACTGTCTCCCAGGTTGGAGAGTGGTGCCACCATCACACCTCACTTGAAGTCCAAACTCCTGAGCTCAAATGATCTTCCTGCCTCCACTCTAGAGTAGCTGCGACTACCACCACATGCCCCCCACACCTGGCTCAAGTTTTCTGTAGAGATGGGGTTTTACTTTGTTACTCAGGAGAATAAATTTTAAACATGTTATTTAAGGATGCAAATCATTCTAAAATTATTACTAAGGAGTAGACAAAACATCTATCTATCTAGAATAACCACTTCCCATTTTAGCGGATTAAAAGAAAAAACAGAGAAGAATGTTACTAATATATCAAAACCAATTTGGAATGTAAATTCAAAATTATTAACTTTGACTAAGATAGCCTTACTTGTCCCTCCCCACAGCTTGTCTTAGGTTTAGAGAGGTTTTTCCTGACTATAGGCTTGTAACTTCACCTGTTTAGAACGGTTACTTACTAAAGAAATCTTGCGAGTTCTTTCTCTTCTCCTTTGAAACCTACATAAATCTTCTCTCAAGCCTGTAGCCCCTTTTACTATGGAGGCAATTATGTCTTTCTCAAAGATCTGGGAACGTCATTTTAAAATGTAAACATTAATTTCCAGTTAAAGTGAGAAGGTAATGGTGGATTTCGGTGGTCACCAATTTCCAAACACACGGATGGTCCAATTACACAGAAAGTCATTGGCAAACTCAGGGACAACTCCAGGTGCTCCCCGGAGCCCTTGCTCAGCTTTCCCCAGTGCCTTCCAGGACTTCCCCATAGCTCACCTGAGCCCCTCACAGCCACGCCTCCTGTTTTGGTGGAGTTCAGTTCAGTTTCGCTCTCTCCTATTGCCATTGTCTTGAATAACCTTTTCCTTGTCTGTTTAACGTTGGTGCAGTTTTTACGTTGACCGTACCCCAAATCCAACACTTTCATAGTGATTACCCTGTACTCTGTGACCTGCCAACGTTCTTTTACCATATTGGAAATAAAAAAAATATTTGCCTGTAGCAGAGTTCCTTAAGAAATCATGATTCCTTTGACAAATCTCATGAAGTGGGTAGAAGAACTTGAACTTATTAGTGTTGAATACCTAATTTTTGGATAATCTTTTCCTAATGTATTTTAAACCCTAAGCAGATGATAATTTGCATGCCGCTGTTAA